GGACCCGAGAATGGACTGCCGCGCGGCCAGCGACCCGTCATCCGGGGGATGGCCATCGCGCACCACCGGCGCGGGCAGGCCGGCCGCCATGGGGTCACCTCCGCCGGGCCCGACGATGCCGGTGGCATTCTCGTTCATGGCCCGGAGGGTGGCACACCCGGCCCCGACGCGCGTACAGGAGCAGGTCAGGCCCTCGCGAAGGATTTGCATCTGCGTCCGGCCGAGGGGCCGCTCCAGGTGGTTGAGGTCCAGCCCGGCCGCGGCGGCGGCCGACTCCCACCGCCGGGAGACGGTCTGCCGGTGCATGCGGCAAAATTGCCGGAAGAGGTCCTCGCAGACGGTCGGCTCGCCGGCCGAGAAGCGCAGAGCCTCCAGCGGCAGGACCACCACCCCGAGCGGGGTGTTGGTTTCCTCCGTCACGAGGGCCAGGCGCAGGAGGGTGGACGTGCCGTCCGGGGTGCCGGCCGACACGCCGGGGGTCGCGCCCCCCGGGCCGGTGCCGCCCTCCGCATCGCCGGCCATGCGAGTGCTGCCCTGCAGCGCGGCATACGGATCCCCGCCGGCCGGGTCGTAATTCCCCCCGGCCTCATCGACGGCGGTTTCCGCGCCCACCGGGCTCAGGGACACCCAGCTCTGCTGCGTCGAGAGGGATGTGGCGTCCGGCACCACGAGCAGGTCCAACGCCTCGCGCCATTGGGCATCCTGCCGGGGCTCGGTCATGTACACCGGCCGGGAGCCGATGGTTGCCTCGACGCGGATCTTGGCATGGGGCACCGAGAAGGAGGACAGCCCCTCGGCGCGGATGATTTGCATGTACAGGATGCCTGTGGAATGGCGAGGGGGGGCGCGTGTGGTGGGGAGTTTGTGTGTGTGTGTGTGTGTGTGAGGGCAGAGGGAGGCATGTGTGTGTGTGTGTGAGGGCGGAGGGAGGCATGTGTGCGTGTGAGGGCGGAGGGAGGCATGTGTGTGTGTATGAGAGAGATGGCGGAAAGGGGGCCCAGTGCAAGAATCTCGCCCTTGCCCGGGAAAAGAGGCCGACGCGGCTCAGGCCGGGCCCGGGGGTAGGGGCCCAGCGCTTTACGAACCTGGGCCGCAGATTCGCACCGGATCGCCCGGGCAGACGATCGAGCGGTTGAAAACGGCCCGCGGTGCCAGCGACGAAAGCAGCGCGGCGCTGCGCATGCCGGTGGCCACCGGCAGGTATTGCATCCGGAAGCTGACCGTGGTGGCGCCCATGCGCACGATCCTTCCGAGGGGCGCCACGGGAAAGCCCGGCACACGCGTGCATACACACGCACACACACACACACACACGCACGACGAAACGAGTGGACGTCAGCCACACAGACAGACAGACCGACACACGGCAGGGCAGGCAATGGTGGCGCGGCCGAGTGGAAGGAAGGCACAGGCCCCGAGACGTACACGGTGCGCTCGTGACGGAAATGGTCGGGGTTGCTGATGACCGGGCCCATGGGGACCCGGGTCTCGGCGATCAGCTCCTCCTTGAGCATGGCATGCGCGAAGAACAGCCGCAGGACGATGGCCTTTCGCCCGAGGCGCGGGGCCACGCGCGTGCGCACCCGCACGAGCGCATGGAGGTCGGTCTGTCAGGGCGATGCCAGTCGGACCCAAGTGGCGGGGGGCGCATATGCCAACAGCGGGGCGCCGGGGGGTGGCGGCGGGCCAAACGAAGGGGACCCTCGCGGATCGGGAAGCGCGACGCACCTCATTCGGCGTGTCCGTCAGCGGAAAGAGGACCGACTCATTCCACTGGGCGGCGGTCGCGCGGCGCCGAACACTTGACACGAACTCCGGGTAGCGACGCCCGTGGAGGCGCATTCGGAAGAAGGGATGCCCGGCGCCGGCTGATGGGGGGCACGAACCGGCCAACAAACATGGGGGGCCGGGGCCGCCGGGAGACACACCGTCAGTCACAGGGCCGGGGCACTGGGCAAAAGGGGCAGCCAGTCCACGCACCAAGGTTGTCCCGGCGCGGGATGCCAGCGGCCGCGACCAGCTCCACGCGCACGATGCCCACACAGGGGCCTGGCGCCCGCCGGCCGACACGACAAGAGGCCACACCACAACACCAGCATCGGACAAGGGCAGGGGACGGCAGGCGGGCGGGGGCTGCCGGGGGGGGGGGTCAGTTCGTCGCCCAGAGCCGAGCCACGTCCGGCAACAAGACCGGGCCCCGCCAGCCACACGTACGGTACATCTGCCGGGGCTCCGGTGGGGCCAGGGGAATGGCGGCCGTGCACACGGCCCACGACCGCACCGGCAGCACCACCTTATTGGGCACCATCAGGCGGGAGCGCACGCCATCGCGAATGTGCGACCTCACCAGGGCGCTGACACCGGGCAGCTGAGGGCACGAACGGGGCGACATACGCACGTGGCAGGTCAGAGGCAAGCCCAGGAGGGCAGAGAAGCAGTACCCATACATGCAGACACACAAACACACATATGAAAGGCTGCTTGCAAGTGCACGGGCCTCCACCGAGCCACATGCGGGCACGACAGACGCGCCCCGCTGCCGGCACGTACCGCCATCATGTCCAGCGTCCCGCCCAGGGGTCTCACCGAGAAATCTACCAGCGGCTCGTCCAGGCAGTGAATGGTGATGTCCTCCATCAAGGGGTAGCTGGCACGCAGGCGCAGGGCCACATGTAGGGTGGCGCGAAAGTAGAAGTCGTGCACCAGCACCGGGATGGTGATGCCGCCGAAGCGGCCGAGCTTCACCCGGAGCTGGGCGCTGGCGCCATTTTTCCCGGCATACGCAATGGCAACGTCGAGTTTCTGCGCGCGCGCGGACACACACACACACACACACACACACAGACGCGCGCACACCGGCAGGCATCGAGGTTAGGCAGGCCCGGCACAGCGGCGGCTGGTGGCGCGCATGCGCGCCGCCAAAAGGGTGCGAGCATAACGGTGCGGCCACGTACAAGGATCCCGGGAGGGGCATCACGATGGGCACGAATGCGTAGGATCTTGGGCGAGGCGGTGCCCAGGCTGATGTCCACCAATTCGAGCAGGATCTGTCACCCGCGCGGCGCCATGGCGAAGAGCAAGTCAGCGAGCAAATCGGTGGGCGCCGGGCCGGCAAGCTGGCGGGGGCGGGGGGCAAGGCAGGCGGGCCGCGAAAAGAGAAAAAAGAAGCAAGGAAAAAGACCGACCTGGGACACTGGCGAACTGGAGGCGATCATCGGCCCGGCGGTTTCCATGATCATGGGCGCCATGCGCGGCCCGATGAAGGAGGTGATTTGCGTGAGCATGGCATCGATCATGGCCGGCGACTCCCACCCATCGCCCTGGGGCCCGGAGGAACACGGGGTAGAATGCGCCCGGCAGGTTAGTTCGCATGCCAGGGTGGCCGAGCCGGCGCAGGGGTCTCCCCCCCCCCCCCCCCCCCCCCCCCGTCGGACGCGCACCTCGTCGTTGGCGGTCAGCGACTCGCGGATGGTCTGGCACAGGGCCTCGCTCATGCCATCGGGGACGCCCCCGGCACGGATGATATCCTGCTTCACCTTGGTACGCAGCCGGTTCCGGTGGACGGCCGCCAGGACTTGGCACAGCAGCGGCACGGACAAGGCGTGTGAGTAGTCACTCCCCCCTCAGGGCTAGCGGGGTCACCCCCCCCCCCCCCCCCTCGGCCGGAGGGGCCCCGCCGGTGGCCGCCGGCAGAGCGGAAAAGCCCAGTAAATGCGGGCCCCGGGCGGAAGGCCACGACGCACCGGACACAACACACGCAAACAGCGGCAGCAGGGGGGAAAGGCCCATCACCGTGCTGAGGTACACCAGGAGAAACATCATGCTCACCATGGCGGTGGTGGTTTTGGTGACCGAGATGTCGACCGATGCACGGTCGGTGGGCCGGCCGAAGTTCGGGGCACTTCGGGACTTTAGATACTTCTCGGTCAGGTAGTCCGTCACCCCGAGCGAGCCCAGGTAGTTCATCAGCAGCTCGCCGAAGGAGGACATGGCCTCCAGGACGAAGCGCATGGCGGCCTGCCATTGGGCCTCCAGCGCATCGCCGGACACGGGCTCCGGCACCAGGGGCAGCGACGTGCCAACAACACCGTACGCCGACATGTGGCAGCTCCTGCACTACCTGCTGGCGAGGGCCGAGCAGCACACCGAGCGCGAGCCGGGGGGAAGGGGCTGGGGCGCAGGCGGGCAGGGAGGAGGGGGGGGGGGCGAGAGCGGAGGGTAGGCAGCCTATCCCGGGCAAGACCCACCCTACAGCAGGGACCTATGGCCACGAAAGTGACACGCTGCTCGAGTTGCGGTGGCGCGAGGGGCGTCTGGGTATGTGTGCGTGGGTGAGAGAGCGCGCGAGAGAGGGAGAGGCAGCGGAGGCAGCGAAAGGGAGAAGATGGGGGGGGGGGAGGGGTGAGTCAGAAGGAAAATGGGGTGGCACACATTGCCCCAACAGCCCGCGCTTGTGTACGCGGAATCGGGGCTGAAATGCATGTCCGCCTGTGTCCTTGTCTCTCGCCGACAGACCGGCGGCCCGGGCCGACGCACATCTGGCGACATCCGCTGAAGGGCTGGTCAAAGGGGACACCTCCTCCGCCACCTGCCTCGCGCCGGCCTCCTCTCCTGTGTGGTCGGCTCAAGCTCTAAGGGCCGGGAAGGAGAGGCAAGCACATGCCCGATAACCGTCCTGCCGTGCCGCCACACGGCTGCGGTTGCTGGAACCGCTACTGCGTCCCCGCCCCCGCCCCCCCGGACGCCGAAATGTGGCGGCGAGATCTCCGAGGGGCAGGCCTCCAGTGCTGGCTGTAGCTCCTCCCCATCAGAATGGATCACGGACCGGCCGGGGGAGGTGCAGAAGATCCCGGTGCGGTAGAGAAGAGGGCCTGGCGGACGGAATGGTGACATTATTGTGCGGCCATGCAACTGCGCTTGTCGTCGGCCCAGGGGCGCGGAATCTTGTCCCGCGCTGGCACAGCACCCGGGCCGGGGCGCGTGGATAATTTTTCAAAAATATCCCCCAGCAGTCGGGGCCGGAATGTGCGGGCACCTCCACAAGGTCCACAATCCCGATCGGCACTTGCACGTGGTGCGTACACGTGGATGGCGTGATCCGGGCGTGATGCGCCACTGCTACCGGGCTTGGCGATCGCCCTGTCGCCGATCACCGCCGCGGGGCGGAGGAGGGCGGGGGGGGGGGCTCTCCATCGCGTAAATTGCACGGGCCGACTTTTTCCCCCATGCCAGCACAGAGGAACGACGTGGCGTCCAGGCCCGAGGGGCGAGAGACATGACCCGACTCGGGGAGAGGTCCGCTCGATCACCAGCACCGGGGGGGGGGGGGGGCGTCCTTCCACAAGCCATCTTCCCCCTGGTCCTCCCCCGGCCTCCTTCCCTCTCTGCCTCTCTCCCTCTCTCTCTCTCTCTTTGCCTGTCTAGGAGAGTGTCCTCTCAGGGAGGGGGAGGCGGCAGGAGCCCGCAGGCTGGTGTATAGATTTTGGTCTATTCAGGGAGCAGGAAGAAAGTGGGAACATATGGTACAGAAAGGAGGCAGGAGGATTTTCACATCCAGCCATGCGGCGCGATCCCTCGCGCATCCCTTGGATCTGCTCTTCTTTGCGATGGCGGGGGGATGGAGAGTAAAGGGTGGGGTGACGTGGAGAACCAGAGGGGGAGGGGCGGCTGGAAGACGAAGGAGTGCGTTGCTAGGGCGGGAGACACGGGCCCACATGCAAACATCTTGCCCCCGACGCATCGATATACGCAGCGCGCATCACACACACACACACACATGCATGCAAACACACACACACACATACATACAGAGAGAGAGAGAAAGAGAAACATACATGCATGCAACCATGCACACACACAACACACGGGCGCGCGCGCGCGCGGACACGTCCGCTCACGCATGCACACAAGCATCAACATCTAATGGTGGGAGCGACGTTGCTTGCGCGCCGAGGGTATCGACGTAGACAGGGGCTCACTGGGGGGAGCCTTCTCGCCCGGGGCCGCGGACTGGCAAGCGCTGGCGGCCCCGCTCACCAGGTCCAGGGACAGTTCCCGCTTGAGGAAACTCTCCATGGACGAAAAGAGAAGCTCCGGCTGCTCCATATGCACGGCATGGCCACTGGACATGCCGATCACAAGCTCGCAGTTGGGCAGGCGCTCGGCCATCTCCAGCGACACCCAGAGGGGGATGAGCGGGTCCCACAGACCGCCGGCAATGAGGATCGGCGTTTGGATCTTGTTGAGCTCGTGAATGCAGCAGTAGTTGTCCATCGCTGGGGCGCACATGTGCATGTCATCCGGGACCGGGTGCATGGGGGGGGGAGAGAGAGAGAGGCAAAGGCAGTCGCCGAGCCACAAGGATCGAAGCCCAGCTTGTTAGACACAACTTTCACAGGCTGATGGATGGAGGCGCAGAGAGAGAGAGAGAGGGTTGGAGGGGGGCCGGCGGTAGGCGCAAGAGAAGGCGCGGGCCAAGGACATGACAGGGTGTCACTGTCCTCTTGGGGCAGGCCCGGCCTGCTGTGCTGTGCTCCGTCGCGGTGCGGCCGTATGGAAGAAGAGGGTGGGCAGAGGGGCCAGCACCCAACCGGCATGGCCCCCATGAGAGAGAGAGAGAGAGACAGAAGGACGCACCCATGATGCCCCGGATGAATGTCAGGAAGGCAAAGGAGGACCGAACCGCCTGGTCGCAGTAGTGGATGAGGAACTGGTCGACCGGGGTGTATGCGACAGCACGCATGCCGGCCGGCGCGTCGGGAGCCTCGACAGCCGGCAGGACCCGGGCCGATGTCTGCGGGTGGATGTCCATGCTGATGGGCACATAGTCCTGGAATTCCCGGCCGAAGAGCGTCCCATAGATGACCTTCACCAGAGCCAGGATGCCGGTGCTCATCTGGATGAGGATGGTGGACAGGAGACTCCGGGTCTCGAAGGGGAGCCTGGGTATTTCGATCCGACGTATCCCCCCCGCCCCGGGGCACGCAGTCAGGCGCACAGAGGGGGCACATCATCAGTGGCGAGGCCTTTTTTTTTTTTTGTCAAGCCGCCCGATCCGTCGCCCGGGCTGGCTGCTGGGCTCTTTTGCAAGGGGCCGAAATGAAAAAATAAAAAAAAAAACATGCGGCAGAGCGACTCTCAACTGCTCGGCTGGCTGGCACGCACATGATGTTCTCACAGACCCACAGGGCAAAGTACCCGAGGAGCCGGTTGACCGGCAGACGGAAGAGCGGCTGCAGCAGGCTCGTCAGGATCTGCCCATACCCACCGTTCACCATGACCATGGCCGACACCATGGTGGGGTTGGTCAGGATGAAGTCCAGGCCGACTGCGCGCGCGCCGCCCCCCCCCCCCCCC